TATATATATATATATATATCCATACAGCCCATAGAAGTGCACATATCACATAAAGTTTCGTGGACATGGAGGTAACTAGTAAGCATATGGAAAGAATATGTATGGATATGAATAAGTTAGAGGAGCGAAGGAATCAGTGCCAGTGTGTAGAGCCTGAGCTAGTACTTGTGAATTTGATAGTCTTTCCTGAAGAGATGCCCTCTCATAGAGCCTTTGAAATGCTCAGGCAACAAGATGTGAACAGAGGGCATTCTGGAGTAAATGTCAAATGGGAGACATGTCTTGAATATTTGATTATTACAAAAATGTAAAAGCTATAAACCAAAGACAAGAGGAGAAGTAGGAGAAATTTCTACGGGCATTTCAATGCAAAATAAGAGAGATATGGCACTGAGATGCATGCTAATTTTGTTTTTATGTTTGGAACAGTTGACAGTATATAGATTGATTAGTGATTCATATGGGGGGGGGATCTCTTCCTCTGCATAACAGAAAATGCAGCATGGTCCAGATCGGGTAAATTTTGTGGGAGCGCCAGAAAATAAAAGACACTAGTGGGTGTTGGACTGTCCCTTTAAAGCAATAGCTGCAGTCATATTGACTGTTTATGTGCTCATGCAAGGTCATCATTAGCACATGATTTTATTTTACCGGTTGTAGAACACAGACAGATTCCCCTACCACCTTAAAAAAAATGCACTGCAGCACAATAATACCAACCTACCCTCCACAAATATTAAAATGTAGTATTTTATTTCTTCAAGGAATGCTAACAGCGGTTGCCCTTGGAAAAGTGGTAGCGCCAGACCTAGATGACTGGGAACACAAATCGTATCACCTAGAAAGTAAATCGAGGTAAGTGAAGTCATGAATACTGAAAAGAGCAAGAATGATGTGCAAAGTGCAGACAGTAACCCATAATAATAAATCAGAAATCACTTCTTACTAATATTTATACTTACTTGCTGAATCAGGAAGCCATACCCAGGTTGAATTATAACTGAAAGGCAGACAGACTGCAAACCTGCATGCGTTTTCTTCCAGACTTGGCCAGCGTGCTGAAAAAAATGTATTCTATTAGTTTTCTTTGGTACCATCAAGACTCTCAGTGCATGGTCTAATAACATTAAAGCATGCACAAATATATGAAACACTTTTAATAGGAAATCTGTCCTAAAAAGCTTACAATCTCAAAAAACTATCTATATCTACATATCATCACAGAACACTGGCTACACGCACTCAATAATAATCTAATATCCTATGGCACAAAAAAGTATTATGTGCTTGGTAGGTCCTTGCAGCTGTTGCTCACTTGGAAGTGTAAACCAATAAAGCACTGCTATGAATACCTTCACACTTCTATGTACAGTAGATTTATTTTATATATTTTACATATTTCATTTATGTATTTTAGGCTGTATGTAGCTAAACTTCAAAACATATGGGTAATCATAATGCTATCACAATTAAATCTCGCAGGATTTTCTCTCTCCATGATGCATCCGGCATGTTGACCATAAGAGAAGGGGCTCTGCCAGGCACCTATAAACTGAGGGTGAGGGTGACAGATGGTGTGTGGCCTGATGTGGTCTCTACAGTTAAGGTTGTCCTCACTGACATTACTGAGAAGGAAGCTCATAATGCTGGAGCCATGAGATTGCATGGTGAGAATGAATTAATCTGCATTTTGTAATATGCTAATACCATGCACAATACCGTTAGGCTGCATGGCAGGTTTTGGGGAAAAAAGGCATTTGAGAAAAAGTAGATGATAAAGGACAATGGGGCCACAGGGTGGATATGGATTGGAAAGGAAAATAGGAGGAAGCTCTAGACAGGAAAACACTTAGATCACATACGTATGAGCAGCATGTTCCTGCATTAAAGTGTATCCAAACCCCAAAACAAAAATGTATTATACATTATATTACCAAAAGTATTGGGACGCTTGCCTTTACACACACATTAATGGCATCTCAGTCAGACGCTTTGTATTGCACGTGGTGATGTAAGGCTTGAATGCAGCTGCTCGGCCATGGAAACCCATTCCATGAAGCTCTCTACACACTGTTGTGCCAATCTGAAGGCCACATAAAGTTAGGAGGTCTGTATATTGACTCTGCAGACAGTTGGCGACTTCTGCGCACTGTGCGCTTCAGCATGCGCTAACCCCACTCTGTCATTTTACGTGGCCTACCACTTCCTTGGTGAGTTGATGTTGTTCCTAGTTGCTTCCATTTTGTTATAATACCACTAACAGTTGACCGTGGAATATTTAGGAGCAAGGAAATTTCACGGAACACCTGAATCCAATGATTTGGAGGGGTGTCCCAATACTTTTGGTAATATAGTGTATTACAGCCTACCAGTCCATAGATGTGGTGGCTGCATTCGGGTTCTTTTTTAGGATATTTCTTGATTTTTATTTTCACCTGGTGATCTTGCCAGTATTTTTTTCCTTTCCTTGGGTGGCAAAACTCATTCACTGTACTGTATTGAAGAGCAGTGTTGTCACCCTAGGTTAGAAAGTGTTTGGACATTGCTTTATAGTTCACAGAAGATAGCTGGGTAGGCTGATTACTTTTTTGAGATATCAGTTCAGTGAACAATAAGTTACAAGCACACTGAATCTTTGTCAAGCATCAATATGATATTTACGTTCTAAAAATGCAGAAAAATCAAGAGGTGTTTTCAGAATTATGCGGCTGAACTAATGTTACTTACCGTGACATTGTGATGGGGCCTCATATCAAAGCAAAATTGACTGTGGCTTAGAGAAAAGACGTTTCATAAAAGGTACAGAAAATTTTAGCTTTGAGGTATCTAACAGCAAGTGATCATAGTGCTCATCCCTCAGTCAAATGCTAGCCTGAGTTTCTGCAATGTCTTCAGACTTAATGAAATGTCTAAATTTGATGCTTTTACCATGTCCTGGGCGGGTGAGTTGATGGAGAGCTTGGGTCCGCCAGGTAAATTGCCATCCGTGATCTTATTCAGGATAATTGGCAGGTTGTATTAACAACCAGGACTAAGGAAAAGACAGCTTCTGTGACACCAGATAGGTTCTACCAGTACGTGGTACTCCCTTCTGGCTTACATGGGATCCTGGCCTGTGGTGGACCACATTCTTAAGCCCCACCAAGCCTACGCTTTGGCATATATAGATGATGTTGTTATTTTGAGTCTTGACTGGGATTACCACCTAAAGAAGGTCCAGGCTTTTGTATATTCCATCTCTAAGGCCGAGTTAAGAGCCAATCCAAAAAAAATACACATTAGAACCGGAAGAAGCCTATTTTTATTTAACCATTATAGTGTCCCTCCAAATACTAATATATGTTGTGATGTCTTATACCTTCAGGTATCACAGCTGAAGAATTCATAGCTCAGAAACCCAACTTCGGAAGCAAATATGAACAGATGAGGGATCTTCTGTCGGACATAATCCCCTGTGGACAGGAGAATGTGAAACTGTTCAGTGTATTGAATGTTCCTGTCCTGCATAACACAACTGATGTCTGGTTTACAGTATCTGGACCTCCTTATTGCCAGGCCGAAAAACTTAATGGGATTGTGGCATCCCACCTAGACAAGGTGTAGTAAAATATTTCTACTCTTAAGAAATCACACTTCTATCTTTTATTCTTAATAGGTTTTATTCTGGGTTATGGAGCCCAGAGTTTTTGTAGAGCTTTGTTTGGGATAAAGCCTCCATTCCTATGTCTACATCTTACCTAGTAGCCAGACTTTATTGTTAGTCTCAATTGTGCACAAGCCTTTATGTATGTGACCTGACTGATTTTCGTTTCACAACCAGTAAAAATAGTCTAATGTAGATAAGAAGGCATGACATTATATTCTCCACAGATAGAATCTGCACTGGGTGTACATGTGGATCACATTGGAGAAGAGGAGTGTGATAAGATGCAGTGCAGCCACAAGACTGGATGTATCATTGGAAAAACCTACAAACACATGCCCACTATGATCACATCTCCCAATGTCTCCTTTGGATCGGTAACTGTTGTGACACAAGTCCAATGCTCCTGTGCTGCACGAGAGTATCAGCACCTGTCCTGCTCCTCCTATTCAGCCAACCCATGCATTAATAGAGGCACCTGCATAGACACTGCACTTGGATATAGGTGAGATATGGATGCATACAATGATATGTAATACATACATGAATGTTTCCACACAACACTTTTATCCAGGGAACATTGCAACTGCGCTGAAGCCAAAAAAAAGCCTCAACCTTAATTTCCTGGAAAACACTGCAGACAGATTCCAGAGAAATCCTCACTTGTAGGGTGTATGGGTCTTTTTTTCTGAAGCCTGCTTGCTCTCTCTCTCGCTCTCTCTCTCGCTCTCTCTCTCTCTCTCTCTCTCTCTCCCACCTTTATGTGCCACAAATCAAATTCAAACATCCAAGTTAGGCTTCCCAATCTGATTGGTGGCTGGAAAGAACTTCTTAGTACAGCAGAGGGCTTAAATTGGGTGTGTTCAGGAATAGCTCCCCTGTGCTACAAGCATGTAGGAAAAAGAGGTTTCCACATAAACAGATCAATGGTAGTGCCGTATACTAGTGTAGCGCTCACCCCTGAAGGAGCCGCTGGAATACCTGGGTCAGCCATAGCCTGTCTAGGGGATTTTGGTAACCAGTTGCCCCATTATCATTAACCGCCCTCTTCTAGTGACCAACAGAGCTGATATCCAGGCCAGAATATGATGCTGAAGAACTTTATTAACACATCCACACTGAGAGAGAGGATATAGGGGCCTAGAAATCCAGACTCACTACTCCCTGTTAGTAATTCAGTGTAGATCAATTTGCAGCACAGTTGAATAGGGGTTGGCACAAAATCCTCAGTATGAGAGACACTAGACCTGCTCCTGAGGTCCTCCTTATTCCAGACACCTCAGGTAGCCATCAAGCCATCAATGTCCTTGGTTCTCTTCCTCAATCAATAGCCAAGGCCTCCTTCAAACTTGAGGCCTAGTGAAACACTTCCCGCATTCATGTGTTCCCACCCCCTGGCCTAGCCTGGGGGCAGGCTGGACTGTACCCAGCCCTGACTGGACTCTGGGCTGTCCCAGAACTGGCCTGGACACATGGAAATTCCTCAGAGTATAGATGCACTGTCCCAGCATGCAACACTGGCTATGAGAGCCGCAGAGATTGTCTGCACACACACTCACCTTGCCCCTCATTGGTTGTCCCACACTGCAGCAGAGTCACACTCCACTCCAGGTATAATCAATGCCACACACCTGGAATTAACCAGATAACTGCCAACTATAATTCAGCAAGACTGACTACAGCCCTGGCAATCACTAACTTTCTAGTAACCACCTCACAAAAGGTGATGGGGGCTACACTTTTATTATATAGCAGTATCTGCATGAAGAACTGTAGCTCTGAGCAGAAAGGCTTTGTTCCATCATCTCTATACCTAATTTTCTATTTTGACTGGCATGTACATTATATCCTGTAGAGCAGTGGTTCTCAACCTGTGTAACCTCAGGACCCACATTTGTACTTGGTCATTAAGTCATGACCCAAGTTGCACTGCAATGGAACGCACAGCATTGAGGTACTGCGCGTTCCGATGCGGGCAACAGAACTGTGGGTGGGATGTGCATTTGGGGTGCCATTCAAATGAATGGCAATGCACTTCTCACACAAAAATGCCTGGTAGGTGCGATTGCTAAGTACAGGGCGTTAATCGCACTGGACTGTGCGATTAACGCACTGTACTAGTGTGAATGGGCCCTCAAAAACATACAACCACATACCCAATCTCACACATACACAGTCCAAAAAAATAAATGTTTGTTCTTTTTTTAAGATCCACCAGTGTGGGCTGCTGTACTGTGATGGAGCTCTATCCATATGTGCATCGCTTGTACAGCTCCCTTGCACACCCTGTAGAGGTGCCGAGAGCCAGTATGTTACATCACACAGGTCCAGGCACCTCTACAGGACATACGAGGGAGCTGTAAGCAATGCACATATGGATGGAGCCCACCCCACCTCAACCTGACACTCGGCGCCAGGCAGCATATTTTGAATGGCTGCTTGGCGCAAGAACTGACATTGCTGCGCTAGGGGGAGCCTGAGGAGCCTCTCACCTAGAAAAGTGGAAGGCATACGGGAACCCACTGAACACAGGGTCGCAACCCACTTTTTGGTCACGACCCACCAGTTGAGAACCAAGGCTGTAGAGCACATAGCTGAATTTCCTCTCTTAAGACATACGAAGTAACATCAGTCCATGAACTTTATGAACTTTAGTTATACCTGGTCTATTAACATACAGTTTCCTGTGCTAGGATGCAGCATGCAAGTGTTAGTCATTAGTAGTAGTCATCTAGCTGGCTGATATTGCTATAAAGGCAAATTTGGCACTGCTGTGACTCAAGAAGTAACTGGATATATTTTCTATACCACCCAGTGCTTCCCTTTTCTATCTTACATATACTCAGGCCTAGAGGAATTTAGTTGACTTGTGTTTGGCAGATGATATTATGCTGATATTATATATCTTCAAATCTTCTGAGATGAGAAAAGGGCACAATGTATTTAAGCAAAGGATACACCCCTGCCCAATTATACAGCCACGGATCAGGAAAATAGGGTTGCAGGTCCATAAAGGAACCACCACCAGCTCTCCACTCTCTCTGTGGAATGCATTAACTAAATGGGCCCACATCATAAACACACCAGCTTGGGGACAAGTCATGAATTGCCACAGAGATCAACTCCATACAAAGAATTCTAGGTCTACTCCAGTTGACCACAATGAATGGAGGAGTCCATACCAGAGATGGGTCCCCCAAAAACACTCCAACCAGCACATAATTTACTACCTTTACAGACCCCAAACTGCTCACCCAACCCCCCAGTAGCCAGAAGAAAAAAAAAAACCAAGCCCGGTACAGGGTGGGCAGGTGGGAAGTTCACTTGCGTGGGACAGTTGGGAGGTATGCTATTATTATCAGACATAAGAAAGAAAAATACACAAATACAATGTTCTTGTGTTGAAATTCTGCTCCAGTGCTACCTTCTAACAGTATAATTATAGTAGACAATGCATTTATTTCAGTGAGATAAAGCTGTGGTTTGCATTTCAGGTGTGAATGTCCCCCTGCTTACCACGGACCTGAATGTCAGCAAACAAAACGCTCCTTTACTGGACACGGTTATGCCTGGTTTCCACACTTGCAGCTCTGCTATGAAAGCCAGATCTCCCTGGATTTCATCACTGACGTAACTGATGGCCTTCTGCTGTACAATGGTCCCATGTCTGCCAGTGATCATGGAGAATCAGAGGATTTCATTGCTCTTGGTGAGGATATCTTGTTGTTGCTGTGTACATATGTCGCCATTGTGGTCACAGAGGCATTTAACAGCCACTGGTCAAGTCCCATGGTGCTCATCCCCAAACTGAAATATAAAACAAATATAAAGTTGAGCTCTCTAATTAATTAATGATGTATTTATAACAAATTAATGCTGTGCTTCTCTTATTTAGAGCTTCACAATGGATCTCTTTCCCTCTCTGTTAACCATGGCTCTGGATCTCTCTTCTTGACGTTTGCAAAAAAATCTGAAGTGTCAGACCAGCGCTGGCATAACCTAAAAATCATGAGCAATAGCAAGGTAAGTACAGGGCTGGTGCTGCCGCTAGGCAAACTAGGCAGCCACCTAGCGTGCACTGCTACCTAGGGCGCAGCCTTGACCATTCACCCACCACGGCGCCCCCCTGTCTATTTCAAATTGCAAAAGCCAATAGCAGGCTGGCTATTGCACCCACCCACTGAGCAGAGGAGCGTAACTGAGAGACAATTTTCTCTCTCAGGTTTGCTCCTCTGCTCATTGGGTGGGGTTTCAATAGCCAGTCTGCTATTGGCTATTTCCAATTAAATTACATGCACCTCAAAAGCTAACCTGCAGGAGAATGGGGCTGCGCAGGGCGGGGGGGCATTGGGGGCTGCACCACGGGAGTGGGGGTGCAAGTAGCTGGTTTTGCCTAGGGCGCAAAATAGTCTAGCACTGGCACTAATGGATATAAAAGTAGCAACAGGGACAACCTTTCTTCAAACCTTCAAGAGATAATGACTGGGAGGCTCTGATTGGTTGTACAAGTCACCGTTATTTTCCTTTGTTGCCATTGTTTTAGAATGAAACCTGTTTGTTACAGTCTTGCATTTGTACTCATGTGTGTCTGTTTATAGTGTATATTGGCCTCTGATTCTAGACTAGAGCTGCTGGGCTTAAAGGAGAACTATGAGGTGAGTGATTTTCACTCATCCTCATAGTTAGACCTGACCTGTGACAAAGAAGTTGTCACAGGTCGGCTCTATTGATCGGGAAGTGAGCAGAAACATGCAGTGATTTGCTCACTTCCCGATCGTCTTCCTGCAGTGAGCGGTGACTGTCAGCTCATCGCAGGGATTCCCCCCTCCCCTCTCTGATCCTCCAGTGCTGAGTGGAGGAACGAACAGGGGAGGGGGCGGGCACAGCTGGCTCCGCCTCTAGATAGGCAGATGGATCTCGATATTATTGTCGGGATCTGTCCCGGCTGCGGCACTGTCAGTATATCTCGGGCAATAGCCAACGATATACTGAGCTTTGGGTCACGAGAGGAGGTTAGTTTATGTCCTCCCGTGACCCTAAAGAGAACTATGGGGAAAAACACTTACCCCATAGTCCTCCTTTAAGTTGACATCAGAAATTCAGTATAGCCGGGAATTACAATATTCCTACCTGAAATTAAGAAACAGAGTTTGTTGGGCCATCAGATTATAGCTTAAAGGGAAAATATTGTGCTTTTATATACTTTGTATCATCCTTAGGAATAACATTTTAAAATATTATTTTTTATATACATTTTATTTCCTTTTAGTTAATTAAATATGAGCTGTGACATTATCACTTGCAGCCAGAAGGTGATGCCCTTAGAGCTATTCTCCACTACTTTTGCTGAGACATTTTACTACTATGTTTTATATAATCTGTCTAATTTAAATTTTAACATAAACATTTTGTGCAGTTAATTAAACAAATTTTATAAAATATCAGTTTATCAGCATGTGGACTTGTAAAAATGACTAAAACCAAAATAAACCTAAAAAGCTAAAAATACATCCACATTTTTAGGCACCATTAAGCACTATTTGCATCCTAACTGACCACATAATATAACCCTATTAATGGTTTCTGGAAAAGTAACCTGTGAATAAACACTGACTGTGGCTTTTACTATACAAATCATCTCATATGTGGAATAATTCAGATTACGGCCTGTTTTGTGACCACTCTTTTCTTTTAGCTTGCCATACCTGAGCAAATAGGAACAAGGAATGAAAAATAAATCTCTGATCTGCTAAACCAATAAACAACTTACCGAAAAGGTACCTTGTTTCCTAGTCATTATGAAGTCTTGACTAGCCCAGATTCTGCATGACTGCCATGATTTCAAGGCATTACATGGAGTGGACAGAGACCAAAAAAGATTCGGCCTGTTTGGTTTAAAGGAGAACTATGAGGTGAGTGCTTTTCACTCACCTCATAGTTCTAGCCGACCTGTGACAATGACACTGTCACAGGTCGGCTCAGTAGATCGGGAGGTGAGCGAACACATACCGGCGTTCGCTCACCTCTCGATCCTGTCACGGCTCTCTGCCGTGACAGGGGGAGGGGCTGGATTCCCCTCTCCCTGCTCCGATCTGCCAGCGCTGACTGGCAGAACGGACGGGGGAGGGGGCGGGTACAGCTGGCTCTGCCTCTAGATAGGCAGAGCCAGCTGTCAGTCACGCAGCTGGGCGGATCCCGGCACAATTGTCGGGATCCGATTCAGCTGCGGCGTCTCAGTATACCGCGAGCAGGAGCTTGCGGTATACTGCGGCATCTCAGTATACCGCGAGATACAGCTCGCAGTATACTGAGCCTAGGGTGACGGGAGGACGCTAGTTTGTGTCCTCCCGTTACCCTAAGGAGAACTATGGGGAAAAGCCTTAACCCCATAGTTCTCCTTTAAAGAATACGTGCACTTTCAGACAATGTGGACTAATTATTTTTGCCACCCCTCCCTTGACCTAACAGATCCCACCTTCCCCCTCGACAGATACATACTTACCAAGATTCGATGCCCACGGCCACCTGTGTTTTTTTACATCCTGCGCTGCAAGTTCTCTTTCTCTTGGCCGCACCTGTACAATAGGGCCCCATAGACATCTATAGGGCTCATTTCCCTGCTGACAGATGTAGACAAGCCCCATAGAAATGTATGGGGCTCTACTGCACAGGCAAGACCAAAAGGGAGAATACTTATGGGATGGGATGTAAAGAATTTTCGGAGGCTGCAGTAGTTGGATTGAGGTAAGTATATATCTGCTGAGGGGGAAGGTAGGGTCTCTTATGTCAGGAAAAAGGGGCAAAATGATAAGTGCACTTTATTTTACATCCAGTAATTTTTTGTATAATAAAAGCTTTCCTGGGTAATCAATAGATTATATTTAGAGATGCTTTGACATTAGAGGCTACAATTTTCACTATCCAGGGACAGCAGACTAAGGAAAACAGCTAAATGGAAGAAGAGGATTTTAGATAGGATTGGTAAAGTTCCTGACAGCTGCCATTTCTATCTACAGCTATGAGCTATGAGGATTTGTTTTTATATTTCTAATTTGTCGCATATTTTGTCATTAGAGAGTGAAGATGACCCTTGATAACTGCTTGGGAGAGCTGGTGAATGAAGACTCTGATGGAATATCAACAGATCGATCAAGGTGTGAAGTGTCTGGAGAAACACCTGGGAGCAAGAGGTAATAAGAAAATGGGCCCTTTTGGACATAGGAGCCACTGCATTTAGGATTGGTTGCTGACTTGACAGTCGGGTAAGATAAGTGGTAGATTTAGTATCTACTGGAGTGAGGGAGTAAGTTGGGAGGAATAGTCAGCCATGCCTGTCATCTTCTCTAGGAGGAAGACATATCACCTCCCCCTGTAAGCACTAGAGCTTCTATTGTTCTACAAAGTCGAATGCTGAAAAGTTTTTTGTATGAGTGTCTTGCAAAAGAGCCAAAATGCGAACATTCACCTCTGCTAATGTTATCCTGGATAATTTATAACTGTGGGGAAGGAACAAGGGACTTTGAATATACTCAAGAAAAATCCATTGCATGAAAAGGTTTGTTTGCATAAAAATGAACAAATGTTGTTATTACAAAATATGAACATTTAAAATAGATTTTAAAGCTTATCTCAAAAAAAAAAAAGAAACAAACTATCCTTGTAGTGGGGCTACCTAATTCAAGTTCAAGTTCAAGTTCAAATTCAAATTCTGGTCATGTCACTATCTGCCGGGAGTTTGCATGTTCTCCTTGTGCTTGTGTGGGTTTTCTCCCACAGTCCAAAAACAGGCCGGAAGGTTAAATGGCTTGTGTCTAAATTGGCCCTGTATATGTGCATGTGAGATAGGGACCTTAGATTGTAAGCTCCTTATGGGTATGTGAATGTGTAGTCTGTGAATTGTCGTCACTATATAAATATCTGTAATAAATAAAGTGGCTTTTGAAATAGACTACACCTATATATTGCTGGCATATGAGTTAAATCTTGTCAAATTCAAATGATAACATCTATAAAATATAATCAAATATTTTTATTTGTCACTGCATAATAATCTGTTTTGATATTGAATGTTTTCTGTAAACTTTGCCTCTTGTTGTATAGATTCCTCAATGTCTATCAGCCCCTGCAGCTTGGAGGAGTAAAGAATGTACCAGGCAGCATTCATCGATCCATCCACTTCAGGGGGTTTTCTGGCTGTATCAGGAATCTGCAGGTTGATAGTAAGGTAAGATAGGGTCCAGTATGGTATATAATGTCTGGATGTGTGAGCACAGTCTAAGATCTAGTTGTGTCTTCATCTGCCTTATTTTTATATAAAATCATTTTGTGATGTTTATTCATTGAGTAATGATTTGTTTTTGTTATTAAATTTTTAAAGAAACCCATAAAACAGTTGTAATATGATCTACAAATGCATATTTAGAAATGTAAAGCACTTTGCCCCTCTATGACTCTAATTACAACTCACCATTGGCAAAATGCCAAACTGATAAGAAAACCCACTTACCATTCAGTTCAGTTTTCTACACATGTGATGGGTGGCAGCTTCAGAGTCAGTGAGAGCAAACTGACACAAGGAAGCGAGCTTTCTCTATGCGCTATAGGTCCAGTCCACTATAGAGCTTCCAGAGGGTAAGGATGACATGTCTAAAGTAAATTGATGGCTGTAGAGACTCTGGTATGTTGATATGTTGAAGGCCAACTCCAGGTTCAATACACTGGGCATCATTCAACTCAGATAGGAAAAGGCACTACATTGCTGGATCAGTGAGTCTGTGGGGGACAGCACCTGGGCTGCTGTTTAAAGGGCTTTCAAGGGATTCTAAAGTATTTGGCCCAAACTGGAATTGGGCTATCAAGCAAATCCTTCCTAAGATACACATAGGGACCACCATTGCCAATCCCCTTCTGAAGATGCTAGTTGTCTGGTTAGTACACTGACCAACAGGGTTCCACAAGGTTTTAGTCACGGACCTGGAATAAGTATGCATAGCTGTAAAGTCAACCATCCTTAGAGGCTAAGAGGTAGCAATGGTAGCCATGTCTCTTTCAGGCGATGATTAAGTCTTATCTATGCATCTACAGTGGGGGGGAGGGTTAAATTTTATGATGATGCAAGATCCTCTATAGATCACATCATAAGCAGGGCTGGATTTCCATTTCAGGCGCTCATAAGCATGTATGAAAATCTGTTTAGCCTGAGCCGGCACCCTTACCTGCTGCAGGACCCACCAGATTTCACATATGCAGAGAAGGACCCCAGTGTCACGTAAGACTGCCCTAAATGCCTATCCGCATCAGACAGGCGTTTTACAAGGCAGCCTTACGTGGTGCCGGGGTCCTTCCTCTGCGTTTGGCAGAGTAGACATATTTGCCTGTAGGCATGTGCCTACTCTGCCTAATGGTAAATCTGGCCCTGATCATAAGACATATAAAGTGTGGACTTTGCTTGTGTTCAGCTTTACTCCGAACCAAGTCTAATGTACAAAAAGGAAGAAGCACCATACAGATGAATCTTTGAGGAAATGTAGAATTGTAAAAGTATAACTAATGGCCAACATTTTTTTCATTTGGATAGAATGGCGAGGAGTTAGAATTAGGGATGCACCAAAGTCTCAGCCGCCAAAGCATATCGCACAAAAATGGTACAATTTTTTGACTGAGAATACGGAGCATCCCTGGTTTCTCTCCTCCTTGCTGGGTGCTGATCTGTGTCCCTTGTGACATAGAGCAGCGCCCAGCGGGCAGAAGAGAAACTGTCAGGAGGCAGAGTGGGGAGGGGAGCAGAGCGCTTTCAGTGTTATCACAGGGGGCCAAGTTCTCCTCCCCACTCGGCCTTCTGTGACAGGCAGATCAGGATGGAGAGCAGTGCGGGGAAGAGACAGCTGTCACAGGAGGCCGAGCCAGTGGTGCGGGGGAGGAGTCACCTGTCAGCTGTGTCATAAGAGGCTGAGCTCTCCTCCTTGCACCGCCGGCTCAGCCTCCTGTGACAGCGAGTCAGGATGGAGAGCGGGTTACAAGCGCTCAGCTGATTGCTGAATGTTTGTAAATAATTGAGCACATAGTATGTTTACTATGTCCCCAATTATGAATGAATATGAAGTGGTCTACATCACTTCCTGTTTGATTGTGGACATAATAACATGATTGTGGTGGACATAGTAATTCATACTATATCCGCAGTTTATGAATGAACAGGAACACTCAGTATAGAGGCTTCCTGTTCATTGATAACAGGGGCTGCAGAAAAAGAGATTGAGGACTCTGTGTTCTCAATTTCTTTTTCTATTTCAAAAGGGAAATATCAGGGGTCTGTTGAGACCCCTGATATTTGCCCAGAGTCCCCAACAGTAAAGTTAAATAAATAAATAAAGTATTAAAAAATTATTTAAAAAAGATTAAAAAGAAAAATAATTTTCGGTTTCGGCCTGACGAATTCTTTATTTTCGATTTTGGTCTGAAAATTCAGTTCCGCTGCACCTCTAGTTAGAATGCCTGTAAGTTGTTTCTTTTTCTTTTGTGTCCCCGACATTCACTCCCTCTAATTGTCCTGATCACCAATGTCACCAGGAATGAAAGTGAGGGGAAATCCAACATTTTTAGTTTCCACCAGAACAGGAATAGAAGGGAAATCTTCCCATGGGGACATATGTTCCCCTGACAACTGTCTACGAAGATATATCCCTAAAGACTGGAATATTGCACATGTATGTGGATTTTGGTGGTCCATGGTGATTATATACAAACGCATAGGTTGCAGTGTCTATTTTTAGAAGGAAAATGAACCAACTGAACTCTTTGTGTGTTTGTCAGGTGTATGATTTGGAAAAGCCCCTGGAGTCAGTGAACAGTGCTGCAGGCTGTGCTATGACAGATGAGCAGTGCAGTACGATTGGGTCGCCAGGATGTGGAAGACATGGATTCTGCATAAGTGATCGGACCTCTGCTAAATGTGCCTGCCATCCAGGACATTATGGGGAGCTCTGTGATTCAGGTAAAGTATAAAGAACCAAAGATAAATATGATGTTGTAATCTATTAACCATTTTAACTTCCTTAAACAACTCATTTATGTATCAAATCAGATTCCACAGGATTCATAGAGGGGAATTTATCAAAACTGGAACAGACAAAATCTGAAGCAGTTGCCCATGGCAACCAATCAGCATCTCTCTTCAGTTTGCCCAGGTAAGATTTGAAAATGAGACAGAGAAGCTGATTGGCTGCAGTGCAAATCTGCTCCAGATTTTGTCTGCCCCAGTTTTGATGAATTCCCCCCATTATGTTTTAGTTCCATCAGTAGTGAGTAAAGTCAGGTTCTTGAACATGGGTGTTGTATTTTCTACTATGGTTCAGCTGTATAAAGATTAGACTGCTAGAAACTAATCAGAGGTCAGCCAACGCTACAAAAAAATAGCAAAAATAAATTTTTTAACTTTCTCAGTTTTTCTAGGCCCATCCTGGACTGGTATTCTGCACATTCTGCCAAAAGGTGTGAAATGAAGGTTTTGTGGATTCATGAACTGTTTTAGTTCAGGGATTTTGTACACAAGGGTTTGATTCTGAAGCAAATTAAAAATAAATTCATGCACACTCCATGCAGTGTATTGACCCAAAGTCAGGGTGCTAACAGTGGCATTGGCACTGGCTGATAGTTCCATTGTGGTCCGATCAAACATGAGAAGCGTGTAACCAGCACAGCAAATTGCTCATCATGAACTTTTATTTGTTACATGAAGAAAAACAATAACAATGTTTCAGAGCCACAAGAGAACACCTTAAAAGAGAACTATGGGGTAACCTTTTTATCCCATAGTTCTCTTTAGGGTCACAGGAGGACATATACTTGCGTCCCCTGTGACCCAAAGCTCAGTATATAGCGGGCTATTGCCTGCTATATACTGAGAGCGCCGCAGCCGGGACGGATCCAGATAATACTGTCGAGAGCCACCCAGTTGGCTGATTGACAGCGGGCTCTGCCTATCTGGAGGCGGAGCCTGCTGTGCTCGCCCCCTCCCCGTCCATCCCTGCAGTCAGTGCTGGAGGATAGGAGGGGGGGGGGGGGAAATCCCCTCAGGGAGTGGTGACTGACAGTCACTGCTCTCTGCTGGGAGATGATCGGGAATTGAGCGAGCGATGGTATGTGTTCGTCACTTCCCGATCTATAGAGTCGACTTGTGACATTTCAATGTCACACATCGGCTCTAACTATGAGGATGAGTGTAAATCACTTATCTCATAGTTCTACTTTAACCAGACAATTGTGACAGATGCGTGATGATGAAGTTCTCTTGTGGCTCTGAAACGTTTCTGCTGCTTAGCCCCATTTTTCCCTGAAGACATGCTCCATTTGTCTTCCTTCTCATGACTCAGAAACAAGACAAATGCAGCATGTCTTCAGGGACAAATGGTTGTATTTAAGGTGTGTTATCATGCACTCACATTGGATTCCAGTATTTTTAGACATAAATAGAAGCAATGCATAGCAAATTAAATATTATTGCTGTATTAAGATTTGCAACGTTTGATGACATATCAAAGAGAAATTTGATGCAGTTTATTTGAAAAATAGAAGAAAGTCTGGCTTGCTCAGGGGTGACTCAAAATGTTGTGGTAAGGGGACTGTGATGTGAAGGGGGAACCGTGATGTGAAAGGAAGGTGGGGGGATCTGATGTGAAAAAGGGCTCCTGATGTGAAAGAGAGCTACCGATGCAAAGGGTGGCTCTGATTTGAAGGGGGATTTTGATTTGAAGGGGCACTTTGATGTGAGGAGGAAAACCCACTTTTTTGTTTATTTTTGCATGGGGCCCACTTAAAAAGCAATTACATTTTAGACTGGGGTGCCTCAAGATTTTGCATATGTTTAAGGTGTTGGGATTAAAAAAAGGTTGAGAAATGCTGAATTAAAGACATATTTATAAAGCAGTGAATGTGACATTGACCAAACATTCACTACAGGTGAATCTTCCTGGTCAATATATTTAATATACAGTGAATAATTCACCGACAATGAATGCTTGGTGAATTTCACATTCACTGCTATATAAATATGCCCCTTCATATATGCTAAGTCAAAAACAGTTAGATATTGGGGTTCATTTACAAAAGGAGCAGAGTATGTTCACTTTGCAGAGGAAACACACTCTATTCCTTTAATCAACCCCAATGAATATGACAAACAAAGGACATGCGAATAAAAGTGGACAACGCAGTTATCTAAAAGAAGATACAGATTGACATTGAGTTTGTAAAGTAAGCATAAGGAATGTAGAAATGTTCAACACCACGACATCTAGCTAGCAATTGTAGCCTAGCCTGCAAATTAATGAACCTTGTTATAAATATAAATGTATACTTGCTATAATATTAAACATATATACTTGTAACCCTGCTCATGTGCATCTCTATTATTCTAATACGTAGCACATGAAAGTGTATGATGTGTCTCTTAGTTCTACAGGAATGGAGCTTTGAGAAAGGAAGTTGGATTCATTATGTGATTCATCATCCGCTCAGCCCGCACTATACTTACGTACAGCTTATGCTTCGAACACGAATATCTTCCAGTTCTATACTCCACCTGACTTCCAGGGACAGATCTTCTTTCCTGAAGCTGGAGGTGAGCCACAAGCATGCTGGGGGTTAATTACCCCTGATGATGAATGAAATATTCTCAGCTAGTAGCTTGAAGAACGTTATGGCAATTTATCATAATGACATCATCACATGAGCTCATAGAACGAGTATTTCAAAATATTACTATTGTTCCTTAGAGGCTAATTCCACCTTTTGGACCATATTTAGGGTGTAACATGAAACATGGTCACTGTCTGCACCTGAAATGCAGAGCACCCTAACAAGAACTTATACACAGCGTCTGTATTATTAATCATAACTGCAGACAGTATACAAGTATTACATAGCTTATGGAATTAGAAGTTCTGAACCCTGCCAAGAATCTGTGACCATTAAATCTTTCCCCATATAACGCTCCCTTAAATAAAGATCAGTCAAGCTCTCCTGTTTGGTAAAGTGAAATATTGTTTGTCAAAGCTGAATTCCAACTGCTACCGCTAAGTTGAAAGGTTTTACCTGTTTTTTCTCACCGAAGGATCTATATTTGTGTACAGCTGGTGTTATCCAAGCACCCCTGCCAATCAGCACAGTCAGGTCCTGCGCCCCTAACAACTCTCTGCAGACTACACTGCAGTTTAGCAATTTACAGGGTTATTCACTAGGCAGCCGAATTAATAACCGAGCTATTCACCTCTGGCTTGTGCAGCTGAAATCAGCCGTACATTGGCTCTGTATAGCTGCCTTCAGTCAGCGGAGCATGTTCTGTATGTTCGGTTGAGCCGAATTGCAGAAGGACTTCGACTCAGCCGATCCAACATCTGGCAGTGAGTGAATAGCCTAATGCCGCTGAGTTCCGTGGTACCGAGCAGAATAGAAAATCAGTGAAAACAGTAGGGAAAAAAGAGGTTTAAACATTTTTAAATAAATAGTAAAATTAAAAAATAAAGATATTTAAAAAAAGAAAAGAAAAACAATTGGGCGGAGCCAGCAGTGACCGCTAGCTCCGCCCAACTGTTTCCTATTGCCCGGCATGCTAGAGTCTTCTAGCAGGTCCCATGAATAACAACTGGGTGGGACTCCGCCCATTTGTTATTGTTTAATGACAGATCAGCATCCCGAGGTCATTTTGGTACTGTTAGGATCCAGAGCGCCGGAGCTAAGCCCTGCAGTTCCTGGGCTCACCTGCAGGATTTTCCAGGCAACCAGGAACTGCTACGGTAGGTACCAGACCACCACTGGGTGGTGCTGGTACCTGCAGCTCCAGTGCTCACCTGTGGGTGTCTCCCAGCTGCCAGTAATCAGCCCATTACCTATTGCTTCCTGGGAGGGTATTTAAACCCTCCCTGCAGTCTGGACCTTGGCTCAGTATTCCGTTGCCTTCCCCTGTTGCCTGAGTCCTGAACCCTGATTGTAATCCTGAACCCTGTTTCCAGTGTTACCTGTTGCAGTCCTGAGCCTTAATACCTGGTTGCAGTCCCGAGCCTTTGACCTGTATGCAATCTTGTACCCTGTCTCCTGTTTGCTGTCCTGAGCCCTGTTTCCTGTGTTGTTACACCTGTTATATGTTATAGGTGTCGGGGGTCACATTATAGGTTTGTGCCTGTTGTTGGTTGTTTCTGTTAGTTTGATATGTTTATTAAAACTATCTATATATAACATACTTGCCTGGTCCGTGAGGTCACACGTGTTTGGTCGGCCTGTGTGGGTACCTGCGCAGGTGTGGGGTCACCTGTGCTGGTATCCCTGACAGGAACGCTGATCTGTCATTCCAACTGGGCAGAGCACTGGCCCTGATATCCTGTTTTAGGGTGGCTCCTTGCAGGGTGCCATGGAGCCACCCTTGTGTTTGCTAGTAAGCTATGTTTGTCTCCACAAACACAGCAAGGCAATCCCCTACCCTCCTCCTCCTTCCCTTTTCAAGACCAGTAGATTGACAGTTGCTGAAGATTACTCTGTCTCTTGTGGTCTTGTACTTAACAGGAAGTTCAGGGAAGCCGAGCTGAGAGAGTTGGAGTCAGCTGTTTAGAAACATAACAGTAAGAGCTTGGGCGAAAATGTAAAGAAATCCTTTGCTGGGCAATGTATATTTGTTTGGTCGGAATTCATTTTTGAAAAAAGTTTGACCGTTTAATACTACTTTCAGGAACTTCCCTAATTAAATCATTTGCAGATCAATGCAGGACACTTTGCTGTTAGTTTCAACTTTGGGGAGCGGAGTCATGTGATCAGGCTGCCCGACCTGCGTATAGATCACGGGCGATGGGTACGGCTGAGCCTGGAGCGCTATGGCAATGTCTTCACATTGCGCATTGAGAGAGGAGGTGGCGTCCGAGAAGTGACAGCTACTATGGGAAAAAGTGGATTGTTCGAAGCTGATCCATCAAGTGTCATGTTAGCAAACAGCTTACCACAGCAAGCTGAGAATGATTTCCAAGGTAAGTGTGTGCACAAAGCAACATAAACCCATAATAAGTTCTAATTCACTTTTTTATTAAACCTCTTTAATTTCCACTCTTGTATGCTTTTTATCTAAATGTAGAAAAATGCTCAGATCATAAAATGAAAAGTTTGTGTCCAAATTTAGTACAATATATAAATTCTACAGGCTGCAGGAGCACTTAAGGCACGCTAAAGTGGTCTCTCTTTTATGTTAAGGATACCTTTTCATTTTGAAATGTTATCCTCTAATGTATCCCCTCCTTCCCCAACGCCCCCAAAGTATAAGAGGCACCTGTGTACGCTACAGCCAGATGACTCCCGGCTAGTCGCTTTCTTTTACCTGTGTACAAATTCTGTTCATTCCTATGGAGCAGATGTCTCTCATGCATCTTAGTGATAGTCAACCTGTACGCAGTTGCCAGTGACAGGGCAGCCTAGCTGGCTGCAGGATAAAGTGGGTTAACCAGTGTATATAACTACTTTCAGCGATTTTGATATGTTTATGTGTAAATATGTTCAGAACTGTTTAGTCTCTATTATTGTCTCCAGCACCATTTTGGAGACGCCGGGTGTCCTGATAGGACAGGAATTCTCGAGGGATTTGGTCGGCCATTTTGGGGTGGTTATCTTATATAGGAAGCCCAACCACGTTTTTGGGCAGAACACGTGTGAAAGTAGACAGGGACAGGTACCCCGCTTGTGAGGGAGAGTTAGGAGAGTTCAGGGAAAGTGTTCCGGCCTGTGAGGGATAGTTCAGGGTTCCTACGGAGTCCTGCATCGGCAGTCCTGATCGGATGAAAGGCTCCCAGTGCTTAGAGCCAAACCTGTGTCCGCGCTGTGAGTGCGGGAAGAGTGTGCCAGACTCGTATCTCGCTGTATGGAACGAATACCGCTGTTCCCGGGTACCGTGTTCTCCGCCTTTACAGATACACCTTGTGTGATTGGATTTGTACTTTGCCAGTTGGTGGGAAGTGCTGATAGTGCTAACGAATACTACTACCTTCATATCAGAAGTGACTCCATGCCTGGAGTGAAACTGCTGGCCTTACTATTGTAAATATTCTTCCTACTACCGGCTCTCCGGTAATAAACGTTATCTTGTTCAAAAGACCATTACGTGTGATTCCCTCTGTGAAGCCGCTACACCCTAAACCTGCTTACAAACCTCTCCATGGGAATTAATCAGGTGTTTTCTATGCATGTGCACACAAAGCTAGGGGCTGGCCATTGACTGTTTGAGTCATATTGCGTGGACATTGCAGGAGCTTGGACAGGTGAATATAAGACTTTGTGGGGTTATGAGGGTTTAAGTAAAGGATAATTGTACAGACATTTATTTTAGTACTCCTTTAGCAAACCTTAAGTGCTACTGCAGCTTGATGTATCGGAACCATTATCGGTTAACTCTCTGCACACTACTGCCCTGCCAAAAATGCCTAATACTAATAAATACAGTACATTAGTCAACATTCTTTCTTGTGACTTGACACCATTTATTACTATACATGCTTCTTCCTCCTCTGGTATACTTGCTGCTTTTGAATGATAGTAGAACCCCAACATATTTACCTATGAAGCCGCCATCACCTTCTGTGATGTGGCTACTGGACATTTAGTGATAGCGTGATATGGCTACTAGATATTTAGTGATTGCGTGATGTGGCTACTAGACATTTAGTGATTGCCAGCGCTGTAGTCAGCCTGGCTGGATTTATAGTGGCAATTATCTGGTTAATTCCAGGTGTCTGGTATTGCCTGTACTCCCTGGGTGGAGTGTGATATTGTGGGACAGCCAATGAGGGACACTGTAGTGTATGCACAGTACAGCAACCAATCACTGAGTTTCACTCAACCAGTGGTACAAGCTGGAGGTATTTGCCATGTGCACAGACTAGCCGGGACCAGCCATGGATTAGGGATGGGTGCTGTTCAGCCAAAAGTTTCCTGGAACCTGAGGACTTCAGGAGTATGACCGGCGTTTTTCCTGTTGAGGATCTATATTCATCCTTGCCTCACCATCACCCGTCGTTTGCCCAAGTGGTCTTAGACCCCAGTACACCTTCTCCCCCCCACCCAGCCAGATCCCCACCTGCTAGGCAGGTACAACTCAGTCTGAGCACTTCCCCTCCCACCTTTGAAGATCATACCCTAGACAGACCACAAATGAACCGGGCATTCAGCGGCTCCTACCGGGGTAGCGCCAGAGGCGGCTCTTTAATTAGGCAAATTAGGCGATCGCCTTAGGGCTCGCGGCCGCCTAGTTTGCCCTGTCAGGACGGCAGCCAGGTAGCGTTGTCAGCTCTCATCCACGTAGCTGTCAAACTGAGACTCTCAGTTTGACAGTGACAGGGCTGAGAGGTCATCCGTTACCTCGATCGTTGGTGCGGATCATCGGCTCGTCTTCTGCACGGAGCTCCGCCCACCAGCCAATAAGAAGAGACCTCACCCCTCCCATCCACCACACGAGGATCTCTGGCTGGGAGGGCGGAGTTTAACTGCAGAAGCTGATGGAGACGCCCTCAAGACACGGCCAGCACAGCACACACAGTACTTGAGTGGCAGCCTGGAGAGCCTTGTGGAAAGCAGGTGAGAGCCCTGTGGAGAGCCCTGGTTTACACAGAACCCTGCTACCCTGGTGAGGCCCCCTCAGAGCCATGGTGAGACCGCACAGATCCCTGGTCTGTGGGTCTTACCAGGCTGGTGAGACCCCACAGAACCTTGCTACCCTGGTGAGGCTCCCTCAGAGCCCTGGTGAGACCCCACAGATCCCTGCTACCCTGGTGAGGCCCCCTCAGAGCCCTGGTGAGACCCCACAGATCCCTGCTACCCTGGTGAGGCCCCCTCAGAGCCCTGGTGAGACCCCACAGATCCCTGCTACCCTGGTGAGGCCCCCTCAGAGCCCTGGTGAGACCCCACAGATCCCTGCTACCCTGGTGAGGCCCCCTCAGAGCCCTGGTGAGACCCCACAGATCCCTGCTACCCTGGTGAGGCCCCCTCAGAGCCCTGGTGAGACCCCACAGATCCCTGCTACCCTGGTGAGGCCCCCTCAGAGCCCTGGTGAGACCCCACAGATCCCTGCTACCCTGGTGAGGCCCCCTCAGAGCCCTGGTGAGACCCCACAGATCCCTGCTACCCTGGTGAGGCCCCCTCAGAGCCCTGGTGAGACCCCACAGATCCCTGCTACCCTGGTGAGGCCCCCTCAGAGCCCTGGTGAGACCCCACAGATCCCTGCTACCCTGGTGAGGCCCCCTCAGAGCCCTGGTGAGACCCCACAGATCCCTGCTACCCTGGTGAGGCCCCCTCAGAGCCCTGGTGAGACCCCACAGATCCCTGCTACCCTGGTGAGGCCCCCTCAGAGCCCTGGTGAGACCCCACAGATCCCTGCTACCCTGGTGAGGCCCCCTCAGAGCCCTGGTGAGACCCCACAGATCCCTGCTACCCTGGTGAGGCCCCCTCAGAGCCCTGGTGAGACCCCACAGATCCCTGCTACCCTGGTGAGGCCCCCTCAGAGCCCTGGTGAGACCCCACAGATCCCTGCTACCCTGGTGAGGCCCCCTCAGAGCCCTGGTGAGACCCCACAGATCCCTGCTACCCTGGTGAGGCCCCCTCAGAGCCCTGGTGAGACCCCACAGATCCCTGCTACCCTGGTGAGGCCCCCTCAGAGCCCTGGTGAGACCCCACAGATCCCTGCTACCCTGGTGAGGCCCCCTCAGAGCCCTGGTGAGACCCCACAGATCCCTGCTACCCTGGTGAGGCCCCCTCAGAGCCCTGGTGAGACCCCACAGATCCCTGCTACCCTGGTGAGGCCCCCTCAGAGCCCTGGTGAGACCCCACAGATCCCTGCTACCCTGGTGAGGCCCCCTCAGAGCCCTGGTGAGACCCCACAGATCCCTGCTACCCTGGTGAGGCCCCCTCAGAGCCCTGGTGAGACCCCACAGATCCCTGCTACCCTGGTGAGGCCCCCTCAGAGCCCTGGTGAGACCCCACAGATCCCTGCTACCCTGGTGAGGCCCCCTCAGAGCCCTGGTGAGACCCCACAGATCCCTGCTACCCTGGTGAGGCCCCCTCAGAGCCCTGGTGAGACCCCACAGATCCCTGCTACCCTGGTGAGGCCCCCTCAGAGCCCTGGTGAGACCCCACAGATCCCTGCTACCCTGGTGAGGCCCCCTCAGAGCCCTGGTGAGACCCCACAGATCCCTGCTACCCTGGTGAGGCCCCCTCAGAGCCCTGGTGAGACCCCACAGATCCCTGGTCTGTGGGGTCTCACCAGGGCCCTGAAGGGGTCTAACCAGGCTGTTGAGACCCCACAGAGCACCGGTGAGACCCTACGGAGCCCTGGTTCTGGTGAGATCCTATCTCGCCCTGGTGAGACCAGACAGCGCCCTGGTGAGAACCCACAGTGCCCTGGTTTAACCAGTAGGGTCTCACCTGGGCTGTGTAGGGTCTCACCATCCCCAGGGCTATGTGGGGTCTCACCAGGGCCCTGAAGGGTCTAACCAGGCTGTTGAGACCCCACAGAGCACCGGTGAGACCCTACGGAGCCCTAGTGCTGGTGAGACCCTATCTCGCCCTGGTGAGACCAGACAGAGCCCTGGTGAGACCCCACAGAGCCCTGGTGAGGCCCTGGTGCTGGTGAGACCCCAGGTGAAACCGCACAGCCCTGGTAAAACCCTACAGAGCCCTAATTTATTCAAGGCTCTGTGGGGTCTCACCAGGGCTCTGCGGGGTCTCACCAGCCTGGTTAAACCCCACAGAGCCCTGGTAAGACCCCCACAGGCCTGAGTGGGGCCTCATGTTTAGGTTTTGCCTAAGGCCTCGCAAACTCTAGAGCCGCCTCTGGGTAGCGCTACACCTATTTAAATGCAGTGCACGGTTACTAAAACATAGACAGAAAGACAGGCATACTGTGTCCTATAACAAAGGAGGAAAGAAAGTGAAGAGCTGCTGGCCATAAAAAAACAAACAATCTGAACTGCTTTCATTTTAGAGGTATTTAATTTGGCTTTTGAGGTTCCTGAATCATATAGTACAGCATTTGTAGATTATAGGTACACAGTTGATTAAATTCTCACCCCGATAACCCAAAATTTCTCTATAGCAAGTCAGATGTTTAGCTTTGCGTGCAAAGTGGCCCAAGGTTTGTTTACCTTTTATAATCTGCACAGCCAGAAAGGGAACAGAATGTTCTTATCTGCAGATTGAGCTACAACATTAATGTTCTTTTCTGTCATGTCAGTGAAATGGATGAATATTTGTCTTCTGTGATCTAAGAGAGAGAGAAGCATTAATAGGCGATATTAATTGTGCACAGGGTGTTTACGGGAGGTGCGCATCAATGGTCTTGTGCTGCCATTGGATGGAGAAGGTAATGAGCACAGCTCATTTGTCAGCTCCCAGGGAATCAGCAACGGATGCCACTCGGATGTCTGCAGGAACCAGCCATGCCCCTCTCACCTCAACTGTATTGATTTATGGAGAAAACATGAATGCAGGTACATTATTTTACAGCAAAGCATTTGGTGCTGACCTCATTGAGAGAGGCAGGGTTTACTACTCTTAGACCCCCCCATTTCTCTGACTCATGGAGCTTAGAAGAGTCTCCAAGACTGTTGAAAGCTCTCCAGTATATTGCTCACAAGTACTGTATTTGCCAGCATATAAAATGAGTTTTTAGACTTATAAGACGACCACCGATTTTCGGGGGATGTTTTTAAGCCGGGTATACAATACCGCTGGATGTGCAGTAATACTGTATGTACGGTAGCTTAGGCTACATACAGTATACCGCGCTGAGCCAATCACTGCAAGCGATGTATTCTATTAATGAATACAAAGCCTGCCGTGATTGGCTCAGCGCGGTATACTGTATGTAGCCGGAGCTACCGTACATACAGTATTAACGCACATCCAGCGGGCTGACAGATTAGCCTCCCTGGCGGTCTGATTATTTATTTATTTATTTATTTTCCCCTTTTTTGTCTTATTTTTTTTCTTCTCGTTTAAAAAAAAAACTTTTTAAAATTCTCGCCGGTTCCGCCCCCCCTGCAACGCGGACGCTCGCAAGGGACGGAAGACGGAGGACACAGCGGGGATCGTGGACAAGGTAAAAGACTGTAATACCCGGCAAATACGGGATGTCTTTTTGTAAAGTAAATGGTTTATTAAACCTTTCATCATCTCCTTTCGACAATCTGGTGGGTCTTGGTAGACCACAGACTCAGCAATAGCATGCAATGCCAAGCTGCAGCTAGCAAAGCCAGCAAGATCCTATCACGCATTTAAAAAGGTATTTTCTCAAGAAATAAAACTATAATCCCACCACTTTATAAAAGACTGGTTCTGCCTTATCTAGACTACGTGGTTCAGTTTTGGTCACCAGTTTTCAGAAAACGCTGGCCTTGAACTAGAGAGCGTTCAGAGAAGGGCAATTAAATTAATAAGTCGCTATGAAGAACAACTACAGAAATTGAACTTGTTCTCCTTGGAGAAGAGACGCTTAAGAGCGGATATCATCGCAATATACAAGTTAATCAATGGTGACTACAGTATCAGAAATAAACTGTTTAAGCTAAGGACTCTGATGTAGACAGGTGGCCACAAGTTGGACAAGATGTTTAATCTTAACCTCTGTAAGGGTTTTTTTTTTACTGTGAAAGCAGTACAAATTTGGAATTCCCTTCCACAGTTTGTGGTATCAGCTGAGGGAAAGGATAAGTTCAAAAAATAATTTACAGGGTTATTCACAAAAGGGTGAAGAGTTTGGAGAAGGCAGGAGAAGTGAACAATCTAGGACAACATAGCTAAATGGGAAAGTGAGATGAATTGGATAATTTTTCCTAGATTGTTCACTTCTCCAAACTCTTCACCCTTTTGTGAATAACCCTGTCAGATGAGTGTCTCAGCTTACAGAATATACCGAATATACCTTCATACCAACATGTACACACCCAGACAAACACATACATATATAGATCGAACTGGATGGACCTCTGTCTTTAGTGACACTTACCAACTATGTAAATGTAAACTTCAATTCCCAAAATAAAAAACAAGAAATAAATGCACTACCTAATAATAAAGCTGCATCCAAGCTCACTCCTCAGTTCATATAAACTTTCAAATTACATTTTAAAGCAGAGTTAGCTAGGTTCTGGCTCTGCTGCTGTGCTAAAACTGCATTTTTAGCATGTTCAAGCAGACTTTAGGGCTAGCTGCTAAAACAGATTTGGAGAGCCATACAGTACAAGTGGCTATACCTTATGGCAGCGGAGATAGGTTTCTGCCAGTGACATTGTGTAGATGGAATTTTACATGTTCTTTCTGTGTTTGTATTGTTACCCTAAAAGTGTCAGCTTTCTCTCGCAATCCAAAAATTGTACATTTTGATCCTACAGTGTGAATTCATGACTTAAGGGGCTGTAGATTTATGAGCCTTTGGGGCAAAGAACCATGTATGGTACTTTGTACCCTGTAAAACATCACATATTAATTCATGTTATTTTAGTATAAGAAATAGTTATATAGGTATTGTTTAGTGGCAGTTACTGAATTTTCTGATTTTCTCCTGAATAACATTTTACCAGTCCTCCAAGTGACTTCTAAATAAGGCACTGGGATGAGCGGTGAAACATTTTCAAGAATAATCAGCAAATCAAGCTGTATTTGACTTGCTAACGCTAGATAACTAATGTCTGAAAACCTTTATAGGAGTCATCAGAAAGGACTGCAGGAAGTAAGGACAATGTATATTATACACTAACCTCTGATATGCCCTTTCTGAGATACAGATTATAGTCAGCGCTGTATTATTATTATACAGGATTTATATAGCGCCAACATTTTGCGCAGCGCTTTACAATATAGGGCAGACATTACAATCACAATACAATTCAAGACAGCTGTAGACTTCTATTCCTCAACTAATGCCATTCAAATAATGCTGCACTCACATTAGGATTTTCAGAGAGCTGTATATACATAATGCACATACTATTGGAGTTCTTCTTCAACCTCAGATGCCAATATTAGGGGGTTACAGCTTATGCCTTGGCTCCACAGTAAAAGGTCACAGAGTCTTAAAGAAAAACACCCAATAAATGAATAAGACAAACTCATTTTACCAGAGAGGCATCGAAACATCACATACAGCTATCCATCACTATCTGGAAAAGATGGCTTAATTTTCAAGAATTCTGCGTCCAACTGAGTTTGATGTACCACCACTAGAGAAACCCTATGACTAAAGACTATCCTAGACATAGCTGTAGTGATTCTGTTATTCGCTTGCTGCTTTTGACGAATATTTAGGACATGTTTCTCTGGTTCAGGTGCCCAACAGACAAAGTTGAAGTGATGGATAATGTAACAGGACAGAAGCACTGTCACCCATCACCTTGTATGAGATGGAGCTGTCAGAATGGGGACATTTGTGTAGCACAATCCCAGCACAAGTATATCTGCCAGTGCAAGAATGGCTTCAAGGGGAGAACCTGTGATACCATCCAGGCCAGAACTGGGAAGATTATTGGACTGAGCTCAGGATCCATTTTAGCCATCAGCATGTGTCTTCTGATCTTCTTAGGTAAGATCCTGGTTCCTTTTCCTTCTTTTCACATTGTTAACTTGTCTGGCAAATGGTATATGGAAAGGAAGCTAGTGATAGTTATATTAGAGTTGACCTGCTATGCACATATTGGTGCATCTCATTTGTAAATTAGGGGTGAAGTCAACAAAACATTGACCTCAGATTTATATAGACACCAGTGAGTTGAAGACACACAATTGTGCACTATATCTGACTCAGCAGACACTGCCTTCTAATGAATGGCCCTTTTTTTAATCCTGGTATTCATTTCATTCAGCTGATGCTCTGCTCACTAATTACCTAAAGTATTCATTTGGTATGGCCCTGAATTTAAAGGAAAAGTGTTTCTAAGCACTGACCTCTGTAGTTGTAAGAGATGGAGTGTGTACAGCCCACAAGCACTGTCAAAGAATTATGCTGAAAAAAATGATAATCAGTTCAGATTATGGTAAATTGTAGTTACATAGTTACATAGTATCTGAGGTTGAATAAAGACATTAGTCCATCAAGTCCAACCTATTAGGATCTCATTCTAGGAGTACCTGTACCCCTGTATATTACGGTCCCTTAAGAAATCGTCCAAAAGTTTCTTGAACAATTCCACATTATTTGCTGAAATCACCGCCTGTGGCAGTGAGTTCCAGACCCTAACTGATCTTATAGTTACATAGTATCTGAGGATACTTTATAGTTACTTTCTAGTACATTTATATTATTTCCTGGAGAACATATACAGTTTTTATTTGTTGCTGGTCTAGCTCTATGGGACACTCCCAGACTATTCTTAATGTCGGAAGACCTGGTGGAGCTCCTGCTAGTCTGGTTGCTAGTTCTTGTACATGTTTGTGTACATAAATATGGTGTCTCCGCTCACAACTCAATTTTAAATAACCTCTGGCTTTCTGTACTACTGACACAGTCCAATGTTAAGAAACCCAGAGCTCCCACCTTGGTCATTACAAAAGGAAGTCTCACCTCACCTTTCTTCACAAAATCAGTGGAGAATCCAGTAGTGGAAGAAAGTTTTTACAAGGCTCTGACTGATGATAGTAACTACCGATGTTTAACTGTATAGCTGAATTATTTCAGTAAAGTGACAAAATAGCAAACTCTGGTAAATCTAGAGTGGATCAATCTTCATCTGAGATAAGGCAATCTTCTGCCCTTTATTTGAGATGGCCTGCTCATCCACCTTTATATGAACTAGATTTATATTCCATCCTCATTGAAGATGCAGCTTTCTACCTGCATCCAAGATGCAGCATTGATCTATCTTATGTGGATCAATATTCTACCTTCATTTGAGATGGACTGACGTTGATGTTGTTGTTGCAGCCTTGTTGGTCTCATACACGGTATGGAGTCAGTGGGGAAGATCAAAGTTTCGTAAAGGAGGAGTTTATCACATTCCTGCAGAACATGAAAGCTGGGAAGATATCAGAGGGAATGTCTTGAACTATAACGAGGAGGGTGGAGGAAAACGTGACCAGGTACATAGTATCACATAGTCTCTGACTTCATTATCATCTTCATTAGGTATGCACTGATACTGGTTTTACAGGATTGAGTACCCATATTTTTTTTTTCCGGTACTCGCCAATAACGATAACGGAAGTCCCATTAAGGAAGCCAGGCGGCGTGTAATAACTTGCCATCTGGCTTCCTGACTAGCCGGGAAGCTGGGCAGCGTGTAAAGACTCGCCACCCGGTTACCCGATTAGCATGGGAGCTGTCTCCATGCTTCCTCGTCACCAGGTGATGAGGGAGCATGAAGCTGTCTTTCTGGCCAATCAGAAAGCCTGGGGGTCGGGTAATGACCCGCCGTCCGGCTTCCTGATTGGCCGGCTTCCTGACCAATCAGGAAGCTAGGCTGCACACCTTTACACGCTGCCCGGCTTCCTGATTGTCCAGGGATGCTCCAATCAGGAAGCTTGTACTGAATCGCTGCCCGGCTTCCTGATACCGGAAGCTCAGGTATCGGGCTAAACATCGGAACATTTGGGCGAGTACGAGTACTCGCACTCGCCCAAATACTCAACATCGGCACCGATACTAGTATTGGTATCGGTGCATCCCTAATATTTCATTATAAACCTTTGAAAGGAAAATTAATCTGCAGCAAAGTTTACTCTTGGGTTAGTGCTAGAAATAACATTCCTGCAATATCTGGGCATAAGGCCTTGCAATATCTGGGCATAAGCTGATTCAATAACTTGGTGCTATAGATATTTTATCCAAACAATACCATTAAAGGTTGACCAACATATTCACAGAGCAAACTGTGGTCTGCGGATATAACAAGCCCATCTATTTGTTAGAATTGGTGGCATTAGACATCTGATGGCCAGCATTCCTCAGGCATTGCTTCCTAGTAGTTTGAAATCCTTTGACTTTAACTCTTTTGATGCTGTGAACATGGAGGTACGGCGTCCAACATATCCAGCAATAAAACAGTGAGGAGAATAGTAGGTTTTTCAGTTTTGCTGGCCATACACATTTAGATTATCTGCAGATTTTCTACGGTCAGATGGAAAAAGTAGAACAGATTTCTCCATCTACGCTAAACTGTGTGGATGGAGGAATCTCCCGCTGGGCCAAGCTCCAGTATCTTGCTAGTCGGCACTGCTGGCTCTCAAAATACCTGAACAATCTGATTGTATGCAGGCATTGCTCAGGTATTTTGAGAGCAAGCGGGGCCAACTAGCAACATACTGAAGCTCGTCCCATCTGGAGATTCCTCCATCCCCACAGTTTAGCGTAGATGGAGGGATCTGTTGCACTTTTTCCATCTGACAATAGAAAGTCTGCAGATAATCTAAAGGTGTATGGCCAGCGTTACAATCAGAATGGTTGTCAAGGGATCACATAACCTGTTTCAAGAGATATGGAAGCCTAAGAATAGTGTAGCTGCGGGAGGAACCCTTTGAACATCTCCACTGTTTGTAATGATGCAAAATTTACCTTTAAAATGCTGCGGAGCAGGAAAAGTCACTGTGCTGTCATTTTCAGCGCTGGAAGAAACCAGACAGACTAAGTGGAGCACTAAACAACAGAGACACAAAAGTAATTGTAAGTAGCATTTGTCTATCAATACATTTGTGTAGCTTTAAAATGTTTTCTACCTCAAAACAAGAAGTCTGTGTTTTTTAAAAATGCATTTCCCAAGACAACCAGAGTGTGACTTTCTTTTATGTTTCAGGGAATCAGCTTTCCCACAATTTCCTCTGAAAATGCAAGTGTACCGGTCTCTGCAGACAGCCATTTTTCATGTTTTTGCTGTGGCTCCACCCCTTGACAGCCAACCAAGCCTGAACTGTGTGATCTGAATGACCAGGTGAGCACACCTCTAACTGTGAGCATGATCGAGTGTGCAGGCATTGGTGGAGCTCATTCAGTCCACATGATCAATGAATGCTGACAGAGACTGGGCTATCCCACACCCTTTAACTGAGAATAACGAAATGAAAATGCCTTACAAGCCTTGACCACTCAAAGCTAATACTTCAGTTTTATATTGTTGTTGGCTTGTTGGTCCACATATGACCTAATATCCCAAACAGATTATCCAGGACTATTTTCCTGCTACTGGTATTATGTCCCACATCCCATAGGATTCTACATAAATAAATTGAACAACTGGTGAGTCTGTCCAAAAGAGAATGATATCTTTTGTGGAATGAGCCAGATCAACAGGCTACAGTGGAGAAATCTCGCTGTTGAGATCTGAGAAGCTTCCATGAGTTTTAAATTAAGGCTAGGAGGAGATATATGATGAATTATGGGACAATTTATAATCCAGTTTCATCCTTAACATGTTCCCTTTTAAATGTGTAAAAGTCACTCATCTTAACTGTTAATTTCCTTCAAATGTGCCCATGGAATGAGTATAGGCATGATGCTGTTGAACTTGACCGCCTACTTACATGCATAAAAGGCAGATAAAACATAATAGGAGGGATTTTCAGGTGCAGTCAGAATAATGCATAAAGTGCAAACTGTGTTTCAAAGGGAATCTGCCTTAAAAAGTGACACTAAACTCAGGAGTTAAATCTTAATAATGCATTCAAGTACCTTAAAGTGACATTAAAGTCAAAGTTC